TTTAAAATGAAAAGTAAGGGAGGGGAGGCTCTACTAGACTGGGCAGCTTTAGATACAGTACCAGGCACGTAGGAGGAATTACACGTCTGAGCCATGGAATCAGAAATTGACTTTTCTTTTCCAGATTTAGCTAATATTCAGAAAGGGAATCCAGCACCTGCCTTCCAGATTTGAACACCTGCAAAATTCAGGAGTGCTCAAGCTCAATTTGGGCAGCCGTTACTTCATTTCTCCCAAATCAAATATACTGATCCACTGTAACTTGCTGTAGGAAAAAGTAGAATAAATTGAGCAAGAAATGCTTCCCAGTGGTTATTAGGACTGGAATTGCTATTTTCAACAGCCATTGCTTTTTATTATTATTATTATTATTATTAAGTTTTAGTTTTATTTGTTTAAAAGGAAGACAGTGATATTGCATTGGCAAATTCCCCATAGAAACAAAGAATGGAACAAAAGAATAATAAAGGCACCTCAACTTTTCCTCATTTATGTAGGACAGTCTTATATCCATCCAGATAGCCTTCAATTACACAAGCTGAAAATTGTTCCACTTTACTGCAGTTCTGTAACGATATGGGAACCAATCCTGTCTGTGTTCTGTGCACATCCAAAATTCCTGCTGAATGACCTGCCCTGGGAGCGAGTTACCAGTGACCCAGGGCTGGGGCGGCAGGAGGGTGCAGTGTGGGGGCGGGGGGGCAGGCAGCCAAAAATTTTTTTGCTTGGGGCAGCAAAAAACCTAGAGCCGGCCCTGGTTGGGATGTGGGGGAGAGTTTTTGGGTGTGTCTGCAGTGCAGCTGGGAGTGTGTTTCCCAGCACGAGCAGACAGACACGGGCTAGCTTTGTTTGAGCAAGCGTGCTAAAATAGCAGTGTAGTCGAGGATAGCACAGGCAGCAGCTCAGGGTAGCCATCTGAGTACAAACCTGCGTGAACCCCTAGATACATACACAGTCCCTTGCCCAGGCCACTGCTACCCCCAGCTACACTGCTATTTTCAGATCACTATCTCAGGCAGAGCTAGCATATCTGTCTCCCATGCTGGGAAGCACACACCCAACTGCAGTGTAAACACACCTTTGAGGGATGTCTATATTGCAGTTAGACACCTACGGCTGGCCCCTGCCTGCTAACTTGGGCTCGCACGGCTCAGGCTAAGGTGCTGTTTCACTGCAGTAGAGATGTTCAGGATCCTGCTGCAGCCCAAGCTCTGAAACTCTCCCACCTCACAGGGTCCTAGAGCCCAGGCTCCAGCCTGAGCCAGAACATCTACACCACAATGAAACAACCCTTTAGTTCGAGCCCTGCAAGCCCAAGTCAGCTGGCCCAGTGTCTAACTGCAGTCTAGATATACCCTTAGAGATTCTGCTTGTGCTGGGTCACACCACTTGCCTCTCCCGGACAGCCTGGTGGGTGCAGCTCAATGGCGATCCAAAGAGAGGCCATCCCTTTGGTGTATGCAGACAGCCTTCTGCATGAGCCAATCCAGATTGGCTAGCCCAGCTGCAGCGCCTCCTCACCACTGCTGTTTGTGCAGAGATTTATGGCGCCAGGTTACGTTCTGGGAAAGGACAGCTCATTATAAGCTGCTCATATTTCTCCCAGTACAGTTCATCGTGAGCACAATAACCATCTCTCTCCTGCTGTCTGGCTGCTGTTGAAGCCCTCCACTGCTATCAGTAGTGCCCATCTCCAGCTGCCATCCTTCCTTTCCTTGTCATCTGTGCTCAAGTTTGAAGCAAAAGAAAATGGCCTGCTTTCTAAACAGTGAAGAGATTTGTTAGTAAGCCTGTGCTTCAGTCTCCGGCTCCTCTGCCTCTTTCAGCCTGTTAGAGAGTATCACTAAAACTCTTCAGTCTCCCTTGCAGCGCAGCCTCCCATTGGTCCCTCATTTCAGTCCTTCTATGACTACGAAAGCCACTCTTGTTTTAACAACCCTGGCATTTTTACAGCAGCGCCCAGCCAGCACCTGAGCACCCTGCAGACAACGGATTTGCCCTTTCAGTGTCCCTGTGAGTTAGACAAGTGTTACTATCCATTCTACGGATGGGGACACTGAGGCACGGAGAGGTAAGTGAGTAACCCAGGCTCACTCCACACGTCCATGGTAGAGCTGAGAATAGGGTCCAGGTTTCCTGAATGCCAGTCCCATGCTGTAATCACACTCCCTATCTAGTGCCAATCACTGTCCAGATGCTATTGCTATAATATCCTGGGGCTGGGCCAAGCTGTTAGAATCTCAGTTTGGCTCTCAGGATGCATCTCTGGATGCATTCTGCCCCCTCCCATGTTTCTCCCCAGCTAGCCCTATTTTTGCTGTGCGTTTTCCCTTTAATCTAAGTGCCTAATGATCCACTGATCAGTTAATTCTGACTCCTGCAGCTCTGTGAAGGACCAGGGGCACTCTGCTCTGGAGTGCCTCAGGACTTAACTGGCAGGGCTGAGGTGCCCTGGAAATGCTGTATGTAAATCCAGGACTGGAGTAGCAGGGGGTTGGAGCGCTGTGACAGAGCCGCGTGTGTGAGGCCCATTGGGCTGGAACAGCAGGGCGGCTGTGGGTCAGGAGTTCAGCCAGCTGTATTTGTGAAGCCCACTGGCTCGAATGAAGTGGGGGGCTGCAGGTCAGGACTGGGATTCTTTGGCCGAGCTGCCGGCAGGCTGGAGGTTGGGAGCCAGACTAGAACAGCAAGGGATGCTGAATGTCCAGCTTACGGTGGCAGAGCTGGCTGCACAGAGCCTACGCACACTGCGCTTGGCCTCCCACTGGGGAAACATGCAGCATCTGCCCACACAATACCTGACTCAAGGCGATGCTCTTAGGGGCTTGCTTTCCTGGGCAGTAAATTCACACTGTTTTTTTCTGAGGTGCAATCTGGGTGATTGGTTCAAGCTGTTGTAGCTCAGGATGCTGCTGCGTAGGTTGATAGCACAGAATTCCCCAGCCCTCCAGATTCAAGGGCACTCGCTTTGCAAGAAACCTGTCTCCTGCGCAAATGAAAGCCAGGCTCAGGAGCTGTCAGCGTGTGAGTTTGCCCTGCCATGAGGCTGTGCAGAGTCAGATGAATCATTCCTTTTTTCCCCGGTTCAGAATCTGATCCCGTTCATTTATAGCCAGGGCACCATACCTTTCCCAGCATAGCAAAGAACAGAGGCTTTCAGAAAATCCTTAGCACTTATTTTTGTGCTGGTTCCCAGAAAAGACAATTGTGGATTGCTCCATGTTTATCAGCATGAGCAAGGCCAAATGTTCCTTGGCTGTAATGAATCTTTAGAAGGGTTTTATCAAAGCGAGCGGGAGAGTGAGTGCGTGTCAATTAGGAAATAGTTTGGCGTTCTGACGGCTGGTAACATGACAAAGGAATTTCAGTCGTGTTCCAAGCCAGCATTAAAAGACCTGCAGAGAACCTCTCAAAATCTGTTCCGTTGATTGAGAATGAAGTACTCTCTCTGTCAGTGCATGTGCCACAGCGCCTGCTCTTTGATGCCACCGGATTGGGGAAGTATCAAGCTTATGAGCACAGCCTGTGCAAACCCAGATTTCATTGTATGCCTTTGGTTTGTTTCTGTAACTAGAGTGGTGTGTAAGGCACAGCCTGCGAGCAGAAGACACTGAGCTGAAACTTTCAGCTGGCAATAGAAAAAGTACTGAGAAACTAAGGGCATGTTTCCTGCAATGTGTAACATACTGTGGGGAGTAAACGGCATCGGCTGGAGGTGGGTGTGTGGAGATTGGCTAGATACATTGGCTAGTGACGTTATTGTACCAGTACTCAAGGGTCTATTCACCTTTCAGTATGTTTGTATAACTTTCATTAATGCTAATAGAGCTAATAGAACCTAGAGGTCCGCAGACTATATCTAAGACTTCAAAAGAGGCCCACACCTCCATTTGAAAAAAAAATGGGTTTCGCAAATGAAAAAAGGTTGAAAACCCACTGTAATAGAGAATAGACCCATTAACGAATTCAAACCGCTTACCATGCTTGGATTTGGTTTCCACTGCTTTACAGCATCCTAGGCTCCACTTCCATTATCTGCAACCAGCTCCCCATTTCTGTTAAAGAGAATGTGTTTACTGTGGTAAGTCTGAACAATGTAACACAATTAGGGAGGGGGGGTAGCCCAGGACTGAGAGTTTCCCACCCAAACATCCCAGCTGGGATGATTATACAATACCATAGCACTCATCAGCTACCCAGAACCCTTCATGGGTATATCTCAAAGCACTTACATAGGAGGGGAAGCCTCCTTATCTGCCTTTTACAGATGGGGAAACTGAGGCACGGGGCGGTTAAGTGAGTGCCCAAGGTCACACAGCGAGTCTGTAGCAGAGCTGTGACCTAGCTCTCTTCAGTCCCAGTCCTGTGCCCTGTCCACACTAAGGAGAAGCCATTTATAGACTTCAAAGAAAATGTAAAAATGGCCCCCATGCTATAGACCAGCAGTTTGGAGCAATGCTTGACTCCATTCTTAAGTGGCCAAGCTTTCACTCTCTTTTTAATTATTGCTTTTGTTCCAACTATAATTAGACTTATTTCTCTCTAGCGCAACTTCATAAACCTCTTCTGATTTCACCTCCGAGCTATTCCTCCCTTCTCTGCATTAGGTCGATGAAGATGAAATAAATTCACAAGGCCAGCACACCACCTAGCTCCTGCCTGTGTCCTGTTGTGATGACTTACATGGGACTCAAGTGATGCATGGGCCGTGTTAGTATTAGAGGGACCTTTTGCTCTGGAATCAGCTTTTGACAGTAGATTAGTGAGGCATGTGGTTGAGCCTTGTCCTGCCAGCGTGGGGCAGCCTGGAGGGTGCCAAGAATACATGGTACTTTTTATGAATGCTCTGGTATGTGGTTGGAAGGACCAGGTACCCTGGCTGATGCCCTGTCTTACATCCCATGGCTTGGTGAAACAGGCAGAAGAGAGGCAATTCAGGGTTCAGCCTGCGTGACAGGGAAGGAGACACACTAACCATTGGTATTTCTGTCTCCTTTCAGGTCAGCCCTTTAAGTTGGATCCCAAGATGGCTCACAAGAAGCTGAAGCTCTCCAATGATGGGCTGCAGATGGAAAAAGATGAGAGCTCCTTGAAAAAGAGCCACACGCCTGAGAGGTTCAGCGGCACTGGGTGCTACGGAGCAGCAGGCAACATATTCATCGACAGTGGGTGCCATTACTGGGAAGTGATGGTGGGATCTTCAACCTGGTAAGCAGATCTGCCAGGAAGTGCTCCATTCTCTTCCCCCTTGGTCCCTGCCCTGAAACTGACTGTGAGACAGTATAATGAAAGGACAGTCCCTTTATAGGGCCGTGTCACGGACAGAGGGGTGGCTGTTGCTTTCCCTACCTGCTTTCTCACTGCTCAGGGAGCTGTAACTGCAGACTAATGCCAACAGCGAAGTGAGACTCTGCAGTAACCCTGTACAGGTGATAGGTCACAGCCCCTCCCACAGGCTCTCAGGTCAAATCCGCTCAGGTTCCATGGTGCAGTGTAGAAACAGCTGGTGCTGCGAACTCCCGCCAGGACGTGAACCCCAGCTCGGTGTGTTCTGCCCGACATCAGCCCTAAGCACGGAGGTCCTCCCATAAGATCTCCGCTGGCTGTTTCACAGAAGACACACAAGGCTGGACTCCAGCTTGCTGGTCCATAGCCCTGCAGGCTCCTCAGGGCTCATGGGCTAAGGCTCATGTGTCTTAATGAAGTCTGTGGCTCTGCCTCAGCTCTGAGGGGTAAGAAGTTGCTGCTGGGCCAGCCCTAGACACGCGGCCACAGCAGGAGTGTTACCTGAGGACAGAGTGTTTAATCAGGGTGACAGGGACCTGCTGCTGCTTGCATTGCTGGCGGGCTCCCCTTTCACGGGTTCCGTAACAGGACCTGCGTTTTCCTTACTGTGGCCCCTGGAGGATTAATGTGTCATTCCTCCTCATCTTGACAGTCCCGTGTAATGGCAGGCCCAGCCCTGCCATCTGTAGAGGTTGTCTCTGTCTCAAGGGGCCCTCAGAAAGTTTTGCTGGCTCCGGCATGTGCGACATTTCTTCGCATGCTATGTAAATTCACAGATTTGTACCCCAGCCTGGGCCCTCCCTGGCACTCCATCATGGAAACATTCTGCTGTTCAAGGGACCTCGGGACACTCTGCAGCAATAGATCATGTTACCCATGTCTAGTGCCCCAGCCTCTCCTTCTGAACAAGGCTCAGGAGTGCCACAGCTTAACACATGTGGTGTCACAGGTGCTGCGTGTAACAGACAATGCAGCACTGGGAATTTCAGGCCAGGAGAGAAGAGCATCATCCCTAGGTGGCAGCGCTGGTGAAATTAGCAGGGTAATAGCATCACTGGGGATGTTAAAATAATGTAGACTGGAGTGCCTACCCTGGGCAGCAGCAGCCTGGACAGCAGGGGTTGGTTTGCTATTCCGCAGGCTTTCTCCATCCCCATGGTCTCCTCTGGGGCCTTACAGAAATGAAACGGACACCGTTACAAAGTTAGAATCTGGAAGGTCAGCGGGGGATGGAAGGGGAGAAATGAACGTGTCGGGCCCACAAGACCAGAGATCATAGAATCATAGAATATCAGGGTTGGAAGGGACCTCAGGAGGTCATCTAGTTCAACCCCCTGCTCAAAGCAAGACCAACCCCTAACTAAATCATCCCAGCCAGGGCTTTGTCAAGCCTGACCTTAAAAACCTCTAAGGAAAGAGATTCCACCACCTCCCTAGGTAACCCATTCCAGTGCTTCACCACCCTCCTAGTGAAAAAGTTTTTCCTAATATCCAACCTAAACCTCCTCCACTGCAACTTGAGACCATTACTGCTTGTTCTGTCATCTGCTACCACTGAGAACAGTCTAGATCCATCCTCTTTGGAACCCTCTTTCAGGTAGTCAAAAGCAGTTATCAAATCCCCCCTCAGTCTTCTCTTCTGCAGACTAAATAATCCCAGTTCCCTCAGCCTCTCCTCATAAGTCATGTGCTCCAGACCCCTAATCATTTTTGTTGCCCTCCGCTGGACTCTTTCCAATTTTTCCACATCCTTCTTGTAGTGTGGGGCCCAAAACTGGACACAATACTCCAGATGAGGCCTCACCAATGTCGAATAGAGGGGAATGATCACGTCCCTCAATCTGCTGGCAATGTTCCTACTTATACAGCCCAAAATGCCGTTAGCCTTCTTGGCAACAAGGGCACACTGTCGACTCATATCCAGCTTCTCATCCACTGTAACCACTAGGTCCTTTTCTGCAGAACTGCTGCCTAGCCACTCGGTCCCTAGTCTGTAGCAGTGCATGGGATTCTTCCGTCCTAAGTGCAGGACGTTGCACCTCATCAGATTTCTTTTGGCCCAATCCTCTAATTTGTCTACGTCCCTCTGTATCCTGTATCTACCACTCCTCCCACTTTAGTGTCATCTGTAAACTTGCTGAGGGTGCAATCCATGCCATCCTCCAGATCATTAATGAAGATATTGAACAAAACCAGCCCCAGGACCGACCCTTGGGGCACTCTGCTTGATGCTCGATGCTAACTAGACATGGAGCCATTGATCACTACCCGTTGAGCCCGATGATCTAGCCAGCTTTCTATCCACCTTATAGTCTATTCATCCAGCCCATACTTCTTTAACTTGCTGGCAAGAATACTGTCGGAGACCGGATCAAAAGTTTTGCTAAGGTCATCCACTGCCTTCCCCTCATCCACAGAGCCAGTTATCTCATCATAGAAGGCAATTACGTTAGTCAGGCATGACTTGCCCTTGGTGAATCCATGCTGACTGTTCCTGATCATTTTCCTCTCCTCAAAGTGCTTCAGAATTGATTCCTTGAGGACCTGCTCCATGATTTCTCCAGGGACTGAGGTGAGGCTGACTGGCCTGTAGTTCCCCGGATCCTCCTCCTTCCCTGTTTTAAAGATGGACACTACATTAGCCTTTTTCCAGTCATCTGGGACCTCTCACAATTGCCATGAGTTTTCAAAGATAATGGCCAATGGCTCTGCAATCACATCCGCCAACTCCTTTAGCATCCTCGGATGCAGTGCATCCAGCCCCATGGACTTGTGCTCGTTCAGCTTTTCTAAATCATAGAATCATAGAATATCAGGGTTGGAAGGGACCTCAGGAGGTCATCTAGTCCAACCCCCTGCTCAAAGCTGGACCTAATCCCAACTAAATCATCCCAGCCAGGGCTTTGTCAAGCCTGACCTTAAAAACCTCTAAGGAAGGAGATTCCACCACTTCCCTAAGTAACACATTCCAGTGCTTCACCACCCTCCTAGTGAAAAAGTTTTTCCTAATATCCAACCTAAACCTCCCCCTCTGCAACTTGAGACCGTTACTCCTTGTTCTGTCATCTGGTACCACTGATAACAGTCTAGATCAGGGATCGGCAACCTACGCCGATTTTGAGTGGCACGCTGCCTGCCCGGTGAGAGGAGGAGGAGGAGGAGGGGCAGAGGGGCCGGAATGCACCAAGTTGTGGGAAGAAGCGGGGGAGGCGGGAAGCTTGGTCTGCGGCAGGACCAAGCTTCTGCCTCCTGCCCCTGCAGGGGAGAGCGGTGGTGGGGGGGTCCCGGCCCCCGCCCATTCAGCCCCGCTGCCCACCACTCTCCCCTGCGGGGGCAGGAGGCAGAAGCTTGGTCCTGCGGCAGCCAAGCTTCCCGCTTCTTCCCACAACTTGGTGCATTCCGGCCCCTCTGCCCCTCCTCCTCCCTTTCCCTCTCCCTGCCCGCGATGGCCCTTGCGAGGGGGAAGGGGAGCGGAGCAGAGCCGAGCAGCAGCATGCTCGCTGCTCCATAGAGCAGGCAGAGAGTGGTAGGGACGGGCCTTGGGGAAGGGGGTGGAACAGGGCATATCACTTCCAGCCCCCTGCCCTGAGCCACTCAGGGCAGGGGGCTGGGAGCACCCCCACGAGCCGAGCACCCTAGCCCTCTGCCCTGCACCTCCACACACACCCAGCCTTCTGCCCTGCACCTCCACACAGCTCTCAGCCCTGAACCTCCC